TTTCGTGCAGGACCAGCCAAACTTTTTGAAAGGCCGAATTCAGAGACCTGGTGCACTACGTGCCACAAGGTCCCCAAACGACCCTCCGCAGGTTTTGAATTCAGAGTTGTCCTTCTCCTAGACCAGTTGCCATCCAAGGCTATAGAACCCAGCCTGTCCTGCTATTTTACCCATAGCTGGAGGGAGAAGAAGAAGATTCACACCTTTCCGAAGGTAAATGAATGTAATGGATTCGACTGGAATTCGAACTCGGCTCTGCGATTCCTCAATCCAAGCCGCTATCCATTACTCCACCGTCTGTGTCTGTGTCGTTTAACTGCATAATTATCAATCCCCCAAAATATTTAATATGCAAAACAAAACAAAAAGCACTAATCTAATTGAGTTTCTTTTTATTTTTTTTCCATCTTGGCACCATTTGTCGTAAAAATCATTATTCAGCAAGAAAGGGAACAGGTTAAAAATTCTTTGGTCCCGCTCTTTTCTCATCTGAGCAATGGTGAGAGGAAAAAGATTATTCATGCCTTCAGCAATGGTACAAACATCTGTACTCTGACTTCCATCTTCAAGTCCATTCAAATCATCACGAGAATGGTGAAAAAGCTTTTAAAAGAGGGAACAGTAGAGAGGAAAAATAGATCAGGATGATACAACAGGAAGAGGGATCATCATTTCAACTAAAGAGCTAAAGAGATTAATTAGAAAAGATCCAACTCAACCTATAAGACTTTTTTTCTGAGAAAGGAGTTAACTATTTTCAAAGGGCAGTGAAAAATGACATGAAAATGAAATCGTACGTGAAACCCGTGACCTTTTTTTTTTGTACTTCAGGACAAAAAAAGCTAGAAGGTTAGAAAGGGCGAAGATCATCTTGATTAAGTTAGAAAAACACCCTGGTATAATATATATATATATATATATATATATATATATATATATATATATATATATATACACATCAATATATATATATATATATATATATATATATATATATATATATATATATATAGTAATCGATCCGTTGGTATGTAATCCTGGTGGATCCTAGTAATATTTTATTAAAACTGATCCACAGAGAGCTCGATCTTTTTATTTTAACGGAGCATATGTATTTTTACAGCAAAAAACAAAAATTACCTCAATATAGGTAATTTTTGCGCGCGGCTATCATCAGTCGCTAAGTATATGTTTCGGAGCTTTGATTTAAATTTATTTTCAAAGTCAGTACTCCTCTTGTAGACGCCTTGTTACTGAGAATGGGTTTGTGTTTGCGATTGGTGGGGGCGTATATTATCTTATCCCGGGTGAAGCTGTCTGGGGTTGATGTTTATTTGTGGCCAGGATGTTGTTTGTAGTTTAATATCAGTTCCTACTATATCATATCCTACTATGGGGCATTTTTTTTTATACAGGGCTCGAATGTGTTTTTCTGGGATTCACAGTAAATATTTTTGTACTACAGGTGTCCAATATTATTAATAAGTGAAGGGGGATTTAAACTTGAACCCATTAAAATTAATGTGAATTAGATATATATATTGATGTGTGTATGTGTATATATATACATATATATAATATATATATATATTTATATTTATAAATTGTGGGTAATACCCGAGCACCCAATGGCATAAATCATACTGTTCAACATATTTATATTCGTACATATTTTCACACATATATACATTTTTATATTTACTTTTTGCGAGTTCTGAGGTAATAGTTTCCCTTTCATCATCACTTAAACTGCTTTTACGGCATATCTTTTCACTAAATTCTTATACTTTTCTAATAATTTGGCACGCTCAAATCACCGTGCTGATAACAAATATGGCGCCAGTTTGTTTACATTGCGCAGATCAGTACAAAAATTTCAGTGATTGCGCAGATTAGTTTTGCCAACATCGTGTGAAAGTTTTGTGTGAGTTGATTGGACGGTATTTTAAATATTACAAAAAAGTTATCTCGATTATAATTTGGATAATAGAGTGTACATGTATATTTACATGTCCATACATATATATATATATATATATATATATATATATATATATATATATATATATATATATATATATATATAACTTTATTTCAATCCTTCATGATCTTTCGATCCTTAGCTATGATTAATTAATAATGAACGTGTCATTTTCGTTTATGATTGATTTCATCACGATTCTTATGTAAAGGTTGTAGAGTAATTTTACATTATTATTCCTCAAAGTAGAGCCCAATAGTGTTATAAAACCCCGGAGAATTCCAGTAAAACATTTTTAATCATCTTAAAGATATAACGGTTCAGAGCTTAATCTAGCAACTGGACAATTTTGTTGTTACAAGATGTGGACAAGTTTGCTGTTACAACTGGTATACATACATACATAGATACATACATATAAATAAATATATATATATATATATATATATATATATATATATATATATATATAGAGAGAGAGAGAGAGAGAGAGAGAGAGAGAGAGAAGGCGAGAGTGGGCACCTTGACTGGTTAGCAAGATTGTCTCGCTAGAACAATTACAACTAAGTAGTGAGTTCGGTCCTCACAGATGCCTCAAATTCGGCCTTGTGCCACATCTGAGCTATGCTTGGAAAATCTAGGGTACCTCGGCGTGGTATAATTGTTAACGAGCTTGTCTCGCTAGAACAATTACGACTGAGTAGTGAGTTCGATCCTCACTGGGTGCTCCATACTTCCGGCCTTGTGCCACATCTAAGCAGCGCTTAGAAAATCAGTATATATATATATATATATATATATATATAGAGAGAGATATAAAGATAGATAGATAGATAGATAATGATAGATGAATAGATAGATAGATTGCGCTAGAGAGGGGGAGAGAGACCGTGGTTTTGAGAAAGAGGCCTGGATAAATCGGTTTCGAATCACACCATGTCGATTTGTCAGGATGGAATCTTCCTGATGTTATCTATGGGATCGGAATTGATCCCAGCGTGTAACATCTTTGGAAAGTGCCTGGAAACCATACCACGGGTTGATCCAAACCTTGTCACAGTCTAAGCTGGATACATTTCCGAAATTTCCATTCATTGTGACCGAGGGTTTGTGCGTACTGGTCTTGTTCAGATTGTCGAGCATGCTAGATAACCCTCTCTCTACCAGAGACTGTAACTTATTTCTGCTCAGTGTTGTTGCAGTATAAAACACAGGTTGACTTTGTGGGTGTTCAGAAAAACACAAATGTGCTTGAGCGATCGTGTGCAATAGGAATTAGCTAGCCACCCTAGTAGACGGGTGTCCTCGAATACCAGTGAGCAGCTATTTTTATTATTATTACTATCATATATATATATATATATATGTGTGTGTGTGTGTGTGTATATATATATATATATATGTGTGTGTGTGTGTGTGTGTGTGTGTGTGTGTGTGTGTGTGTGTGTGTGTATATGTTTAACAAATATACATATGGTTTTTTGAGTGTGAATGTGTGTGTAGGTGTATATAGGAACTCATAAAATATAAGAAGATCTAGGTTATGTGGATATAAATAGGGTTTAAGACATGTAGATAAAAGATTGTAAAAGAAGGACCTAATTTTCTGCTCGTGATATCTCTTCCAAATCTCTCCTCTAATATCCTCCAATTGGAAGTGAATTTTAAATAGCACGAAGGTAAAGTTTAGATTGGTATTTTAATTGAGATTGAAATATACTACCCCAGTGTTGATAATAAAATTATTTAAATGGAAATAACCGTTGATAATTGGGTACATAAAAACAATAACGAGATTACTTAATGAACAAAAATCAAAAACAATCACGAGTTTACTTAATGAACAAAAATCAAACGAATAGATGTCAACCTAACAAGCAATAAGATAAAAGTTTTAGTGGAATAAAAAAGATTACTAAATATAAAATGGATTACTCTTTCAATGTTCTGTCTATGAATTTTTCCAATCGACTGTTTCATAGAAAATACCCAAAATTCCACCGAATTTCAAATTAATTTCTTCGTAGATTGTTTTAACATTTAGATATTTATCAAACCTTAACCTCCCAAATATGCATATATTAAATATATAACGCGAATTAACAGCGTCTAAGAATTTGAATGAAACCTGTCGTGTAATTGATTGGGGTTGTTGTAACTTCTTCCTTTAATGTCGTTCTTATCGTTCAACCCTTAGCCATCTATATCTAAAGACGAGATGCGTTAAATTTGAGCAACATCTAGTCGACACACTGGGGTTAAAAATAGGAAATTGAAATGATACATATGACACACTCATATCCTCTCTCCCACCTCACTTCCTCACTTCGTTAATTTTACGTATACTTGATGAGGTCCGTCAAAAACGTGTGAATTTCTTTTCATTTTTCATTTCAGCTTTTGGAAGTAAAGTCTGATGATCCAAAACCCTGTTAAAGGGTTATGGTGAAATAGCTTATTACATGGAATCTTAACGTGGTCTGTCTTTTATTCAAACAATATATATATATATATATATATATATATATATATATATATATATATATATATATATATATATAAGCTTTTGTGTGTGCGTATGCTTGTAGGATTTATAAAAGTATCGGAAAACAAAATTAGAGATGGTGAGACATCGGGGAAAAGCTATAAACGACGCGTTTCGCCTAACGTCTTTTGATTACGACTTCTCCAGTTCCGAATGAAAGACGCAACTGTGTAAGGAAATTTCTTGTGATCTCAAAGGATAAGAAGGACCATAAATTAAATTACCTTTTCAAATCCAACGCCCAGAAACCAGAAGGTAACCTACGTCAATCTGTTTCAGGAGAAACCACCGTTTGGTCCGGCGTGATTTATACCGCTTGGCCGTAGAGAGTGTCACGCCCAGAAGGATTCTATTTCCATCTACCCTTGCTAAATAGTGACAAAAATAATTTTGGGGATATTTCCATAAGGATGTATCAGTTTTGGTACCAAAGTTTATATATATGAATTCATGTATAAACAGATCTAATTATAATTAGATATGAACAATCTTAGATAGATAGATAGATAGATAGATAGATAGATAGATAGATAGATAGATAGATAGATAGATGAAGGAACTGAGATAGATAGATAGATAGATAGATAGATAGATAGATAGATAGATAGATAGATGAAGGAACTGAGATAGATAGATAGATAGATAGATAGATAGATGAAGGAACTGAGATAGATAGATAGATAGATAGATAGATAGATAGATAGATAGATAGATAGATGAAGAAACTGAGATAGATAGATAGATAGATAGATAGATAGATAGATAGATAGATAGATAGATAGATAGATAGATAGAATCAAGTTCAGATTGGTCAAAAAACAAGTTGAAAAAGAAAGAAAAATATAAAACGCAAAGGAAAGTGGTGAATATAACTAATTTAGATAGATAGATAGATAGATAGATAGATAGATAGATAGATAGATAGCAAACACAAGATAAAGACAGATAGATTACTAGAATGAGAGAGAAACAAGAATCAAGTTGTGACTGATAGAAATAAAGAAACACGTTAAAAAAATAAAGTTGCGATAAATATAAACATGTTAAGAGAGCTAGTATCAACTTGAGGTTGACAGAAACAAGATAAAGGAAGCAACTGCGATAGAAACAAGCCCACGTAGATAGATAGATAGATAGATAGATAGATAGGGAGAATGAAGTTGAGATTGTTAAAACGAAAACAAAAATAATTAGGGACAAGGAAGAAAGAATCAGTATAGAAAGAAAGACGTTAAGCGAGAAAGAAGTTGCGAAATAAAGTCGTTGCTCTCAATATAAACAAATTGATATAGATTTATATATATATGTGTGTGTGTTTGTGCGCGCGCGCGTGTGTGTGTGTGTGTGTGATGTATTTTTGGTCCGAATACTTCAGTTTTATTCTTACTATTTGTCTAGGAGAAAACAACACCGCCCCTCCCCCCCCCACACGATGCCAATCAAAATGTACAGTTCGGAAACAGGCACTTATGCGCACGGATTCACACTTGTATTAAATATAGATTCCTATCAGTTTATATTGCCGATTAAATTGCCTTTAAAACAGCTGAAATAATGACATTATAAAGTGGATATATAGTATAATTTCGGGAAACACAACGTAATAGCATAACAGGCACACAACAATAGACGTCGAACGATAGATCTGTAGAAACATGGAACGAGGTAGGCACCAAAGAAGACAATTTTCCTCTCTTCTTTCTCTTCGTTGCTTTCTTCTTTCACGTTCAGTTGATAATTTACTTCTAAAGCTTTCAAGTCCGCCATCCAGAAACAAACGATACATGACGAACAAATAAGGCTTACTGAATTGTCAATAAAACTTCTCTTTGATCGAAGTGCCAGTTTGAAAAGCATGTTTTTGTCTCTGTCATATAGCCTATATCTAAACAAATCAAGCACAGTCAGAGATCGATTTACAGAAAGGAATCGGAGAAATTGTGCTTCGGGAGAAGAGTGAACATGAAAAAGCGGCATTTGACTCTCTTCACGACTGAAAGAGAGTACATCAATAAGTCCGTAGCCAGGCAAATTACACAATTCACTTTTTCTTTCCATCAGGATTGAATTCTATTTCAATAAAACTAATACCGTGTTTTGATTGAAAATTATGCAATGGAAATATAATCAGATACCTGTTTTGTCAGACGGGAGGCAGTGATGTTACTTAGTATAATGCTAAGAAATATATTTATCTGTTCTTCTTCTTCATCTTCTCTTCTTCTTCTTCTTCTTCTTCTTCTTATTATTATTATTATTATTATTATTATTATTATTTGTCTATGTTATGTTCCCTGCTTTGAATCATGCAGAGTCTATTTGAAGACCAAGTTAAAGCAAGGTGATCACTTAATAAACGAGGGTATCTGAGTGCCTCGCATCAAAGACTTGAAGAAATAAGACTGCAAACTGAGAAACGTAAGAATAAAGGAACTGATTAATTAAAAGGTTCATTTTGCTCGGAAAGTAATTTTGTCTAAATGCTGATAAATGTTTTATTTGTATAGATTATTAAAGAGAAGTAATCACTCATAAATTTATTAAGTTCATTTACCTCTCTTCCTACTACCAATGGGACAGGAAATATATAATATATAATTATTGTGTGACTTGGTTGTTATTATTATTATTATTATTATTATTATTATTATTATTATTATTTGTGTATGATTTGTTTCCTGCATTGTATCCTGCAGAACCGGGTCCACACTATGGTCTTTATGCCTTATAGAATTGTCATTTTATTGATAGCAATTTTGATGGGATATTCAAGCTTCTGGGCAACTTGTATGTTAATGTTACCTGAGACACTGTTAGTAAAATTGACCGAGAACTCCGATTATTTTGGTACAGTCTATGTCTTCATCCCCCACATCCTGTTAATCTCATCTCCAGGTCCTTGTATTTGGACAATTTCTCGATAATTTTTATGGAGGTACTTCTCTCAGATGATACGGCTATGTCTATATGTATACACTTCCTGAATGTCTTGTCTTTTATGATAATATCAAGTCTGTTGGCATTTAATTCTTTTTCAGTTTGAATTGGCATGTCCCAGAGCATAGTTACATCGTTATTTTGGGTAACTCTGTCTGGTTGGTGCTCATGCCATCTATCACTGGTTTCAATTTTGTGCTTCATTCATATCTTCCAGTGCACATGTGTTGCTACATTGTTATGTATGTGGGTATATTCATTTTTTTGCTAGTTCCATACATCCTGAGATTATATGGTCAAGTGTTTCATTATATTTTCCGCAGATCCTGCAATTCCGGTTAGTTCCAGCTTTGAATATGTGACAATGATAAGATTTGGTTGCGAGGCCTTGGTCCTGAGGTGCAATAATTAGGTTTTCTATCTCAGCTTTCAACCCGGTGCTGCTCAGTCACTGATGTGTTTTCTGTTGGTGCACATCTGTTTCTTTTGATCCGTTTTTAGGTATTTGCCATGCAACACCTTTTTCTCCCAGTTTTATTTTATTTATTTATTTATTTATTTTTTGTAATTTCATTTTGCCAAGTTGTTTTGCTTTCTATTTTACTCTTTATTGCATAAATGGTATTCGCTTCGTTTATTGTTGGTAGGATTTCAATTATATTAAACTGTTTCTTGAGCAGTGTAGCTTTTTTGCTGATGGAGTGATTTCGTTGCTTTACTATTTGTAGGAGAGGGTCATTGTTTTCTTTTTTAAGTTATGCTTCTAATCCGATTGTTGTAATTTTTGAGTTAGACATCGGCCTCCTAAAGCTCTTTTCAACTGACAATTTAAAAAAAAAAGAAAACAAAAAATAAATATCACACACATTTTACATAGATAAAGCTCTTCGTAATACGTGAACTGTAATTGTCAGTACTATTTTTTGCATATCTTTAAGACATGGGATACAAGGAATCCCTTCAATTAGTCTATAAGAACCTTTTCCAATCAATCGGAGGGCTCCAACTACAAGTGGATGTTTTGATGTTCCACTTCAAGATGCTCGTATTTTGATAGTTTTTGAAGATAATAACAACCTTTATATATCTTTGATTAGTTCTCAGCTATATAGGGAGCACCCATTTTGAATATATATATATATATATATATATATATATATATATATATATATATATATGCAAAAAAAATAATCTTACCAAAAGTTCCATTTAATTGATTTTAATTTTTCTTTGGAAATGATATAAGCTTTTACACATTTTTCATCATGCTTACATTTGATCAAAAAGTTTTTCAATATATAATAAATATCATTAGAATTATTAACACTATTATTATTATAATAGCTTTTTATCACTCGGATTTCTATAATCGGCCTACTCTATCTATCTATCTATCTATCTATCTATATATATATATATATATATATATATATATATATATATATATGATCTCAGACGAAATATCTTTGGTGATCGAGTCTCCGTCACCTTACCCAAGTGTTCTTTTCAACTTCAAATGTTCAACCCTGTTGACCTGAAGACAATCGCAACCATAAAAAATTAACTTTCGTCAACCCGATCTATTCTTAGCCTCTTCTCTTTCAGTCTTTATCAATATCCTTGAAGTTTTCTTGTATTTGTGTCTGAGGCATTTACCAAGAGCGATAACTCCGTAAAACAGTTGCTTCAGCGATCTCTCATCTTCCATTCTAATGAGATACTTTGCCCTGTACAGTCAATATGCTGAAGGATCACCTTTGTTTTTTGAACAGAACCTGTACTCTCTTAGGCCCGCCTCATTGTAATCGCCTTAAGTACTCTTCAGTAATTGGGTCGCCGGTTTCTTGAAGGATATTCCAAAGGTTTTCTTTGCATAGTTGCTTGCCTTTTTTTTTCTGTTCTCGCTAGATGACCCCACATTGCTTGGGGGGGGCCTGGGGGCCGAACGATGGGAACCATTATAGTATTCCATTTTATATTTTCTACAGAAGCTAGTGTAGGAAAGCGGGAAGAAAGGATTAAACATAAACTATAAGAAATCACAATTCATGGTTGTTAGCAAAAGAATAAACCTAAAGTGCTAACTGCAAAGCGGAGATGCCAAAATCAAACAGGTACAAAAAATTAAATTTCTAGGAAGATTTTAACAGGCGACGGAAAATGTGACACTGATATCCGAAGGTGGATTTCGATAGCCAAAGGTACCTTCCAAAAGCTAAGCAGAGTATTAAGAAACAGGAAAAAAAACTTTTATAGAAACAAGGAAAAGAGTACGAATATCTGTTTTCCTATATGGCAGTGAGGGCTGGACAATCTTCTCAAAGATGAAAAAGAGACTTGAAGCAAATGTAGTTCTACAGAAGGATGCTGAGGATACTACGGACCAAACATGTGAGCAACGACGAAGTTTTAAAGAAAATGGAAAAAAGAAAAATTATCCTTACTATCAGGAAGGGTTCTGTGATGTCAACGAACACTCGTTGCCACTTTTTAATGTCAACGAATACTAGTTGTCACTTTCGTAATGCTCGTTGTAGTAGAGACTCTGTAATCGCAGATACAACTATAGTAACGTTATTGAAAAAATACTGGTGTCAGACGCCTTCGAATAGCATTCGCACTAATAGTACTTGCTCAATAATAATCGCTGGAATAGGAACCACCGAATAGTGATCTGAATAGTAATCCGTATAGTGAGATATTCACTAACCGACCCACGCAGCCGGATGCAGCACAAGGCCAAGTTTAGAGTGGCGTATACGAGCCCGTCGGTTCGGTCAAACATTCCATGTAGATTCCGTAAAAACGGGGTTGGGTAGCTGTCTCCCGAGACGAGACGAGACGAGACTCTGCCCTTCGATATAGCCTCGTCAGGTGATCCTCTCTGCCCGGAGCCAGAGATTTTGACCAGCAAACGTTCGAAGTAATCCGTATAGTGAGAGATTCAACTACCGTCCCACGCGGTCGGATGAGGTACAAGGCCAAGCTTATTGTGGGGTGTTCGAGCCCGTAGGGTCGGTCAAAAATTCCCCGTAAACACGTAAAAATTTGTTCGGGTATCTGTCTACCACCCCAGACGAGACTCTGCCCTTCGGCACAGCCTCATCTGGGTTCCTCTCTACCTGGAAGCAGAGATTTGGACAAGCACACTTCCGAAGTAATCCTGATAGTGATGATATTCACCTACCGTCCCATGCGGTCGGATGTGGAACAAGGCCGAATTTATTGTGGGGTACCCGAGCCCGTAGGCTCGGGCAAAAATATCCCCATAGGCCCCGTAAAAACGGGGTAGGGTAACTGTCTACCACCCCAGACGAGACTCTGCCCTTTGGCATAGTATCGTCTGGTTTCATCTCTACACAGAGACAGAGAGTTCGACCAGCACACTTCTGAAGTAATCCTGATAGTGATCACTCAGACGCCACGCTAATTCCAATATATACATTTCCTTCACCATGACGTGATCTACTTGTTGAAAATGGGATCGCCTGTGTTTGCTCTCTGGTGATCTGTGTTCAAACTCCAGTGTCGGCAGCGACACTTTATTCCTATATAACAGAGTCAGTTGAGGTTTCTAGGGTACATATTAATGAAAGATGGCTTAGAGAATCTGATACTCACAGGAGAATAACAGGAATATATTTATTAAGAACTACAAAGGATAGGAAGTTGAGGAGGGCTATAATCGCCTACGTCGTGAGAGGACACGGCACCTAAAAAAGAAGAAGAAGAATCAAGGTAAGATTCTACTTAATTGGTAATGTTTTGGGGACACACTTGCCGATTTAAAATCAAACCCTTTCCAGATAGTATTACATGGTGGATCAAAATCTGGTGGTAGATTTCTGCGCTCGTAATTCCATCAATTTTGAAGAGATATTCAATACCACGAGCTGAAATGAACCAAGACAAGAGACTCTGCTTTGTTTTATACGTAGCTCCTGACCATCACTTGTAAATTCCTCCAGACGCCATCCGTTTAGAATGAAGACAATTTTAACCAAAATGACTTCACGTATGAATTTATCACTACGTGCGATATTTAAGGGGTAAAAGTATTCAATGTCAGGGATAGATCGTATGTAAATATGAAAGTCAACACTGCAGTCAAATTTGAGTGG